ACGGTGTCCGTAAATGCCGATATATTCCTGCGGACTGTCTGTAAACACTGCAACATGTACGGGGATTGCCTGAAAATATTTATATACTTCTGGGGACTCTCTATAAATGCTGATACACTCCTGGGTTCTATTCTGTAAATTATGCTACATTTTTATCTCCACTTCCAAAATGTTGCATTGCCAAACACAACTACACACAGGTTTCCTGTTTCATATTAATACCATACAGTAACGCAAAAAATGCATCAACACATTGACAAATATGGAAACCGAAAAAAAAGTGTAGAATTCTCAAGCCACCACTCACAACATACTAGATCACTGCTCCACTTCGACAAAGATTATATAATTTTGTGTATTTCCTGTGAAGTATTGTCCAAAATGTACTATTTAAGGGTAATAGTTCCCTTATTTGTGTCATACCTTTATTCATATATCTGTGGGGATTAAGGGAAAAAAAGATGACTTACAGCACATTAAAAGGACATAGGTTTTTGCCTGTGAAGGATCAATTTTGTATTGGAATTCCATTTTACACAACAGAAGCGGCTAGTGGTGGATAAAACTTCAATATGGCACACTTTGACAAACTTCCCTAGATGTCCTCTCCAAGTTTGAAAAAGCAGATTTTGTTTCAGTATTTGGTCACTCTTGTTGATGACCTGTCTGACCCAGTGGTGTTCCTTTCCACCTCCATTATGCCAGCAACCCCTATCTTGAACCTTAGTGATTAAGTGGCTATTGCTTTATTCATTCACCTAATGATAACTTCACTGACTGAACTGTCTACTATTATTATCAAGAGAACCTGATAGTCATGACCTTTCCGTTCATTCAAAGCCCAGCTGTCAATAAAATGCCATCTTGACGTCCAGGCCTGGAACTGTGATTACTCACATTCCAGCCCTGCTTTGGTTAGTGCAGTCTAGAATCTATTTTAGAGTGTCACTTCACTGTTGGTGTGGAAGAGAATGAAGTTGACAAAACTCTGCTCTGCTCAGTGGCATAATGAGTCAGTGCTTGGAACGAAGTGCCAAAGAGGGGCTAGAAAGGATGGATATCCCATTCCAATGACCTCACGTACCATTAACTTCTGACCTTGACTGCTCCATAAATGAAGGCATTGAATGGATGCTTGAAGGGACAGGACAGGAAAGGAAAGGAGGTCATTGCAAACAGCTTGTGGGCATCTCCATCACCGATTATGAATAGATTGAGTCCTTGCTGCATTTTAGTAGCTGTAGCTCTTCTGTGTGGTGACGGGGCATGGCATCCATCAAACGAAATATAAACAAACTGTCAGAATACGAAAGGCAAAATCTTCCTCATCGTTTCATTGCCGATTAGGAAATCTTACAACACGGCAGGCCGCCTACGACTTAGCTGGCATGGGAATAAAAAATGTTTATTCTGCAGGAGTCATTGCCACCATTGCTTGCTGTGGCCGGTGTCGACTCCATGTCCAGCAATGGGCTGGTTTTAAAATAGTCATCCTGGTGCTTAAACCTTGTTCGTGACCTTGTTTTACCCCTTCTGTCAGTTCTGCCAATGCATCCTCATTGTGCGTCTCTTCAATACACCAAAGGCAGCAGTGCCTTCAGCTGTCCAGGTCTGATGTTCTGGAGTTTTCCCTCCTCCTTCCTCAAAAACATACCACTTCGATCTGACCTAATATATTGTTGCGTGATGTGGGGCCACATTTTCACCCTGGATACTGGGAACAGGAGCTGGGTCTGTTTCTGTGTTAGAACCTTGACCCCCAACCCCAACATCTGGACCCAAATGTTGCAGGAGGGCCAGAAGGTGCACCCCTCCCACACCCCCCTCAGAGGGAGCGGAGGGTGGTGCTCTTTCCCAAGGAGATTGGAAGTGAGGCCAACTCTGCGCAGCGTGGGCATCAATGTTATCACCCTCTACCTCCAATCACTCCCCTCTTAGCACCTTCCCTCCCGATGAGCTGTTCCCTTCCAGGGCCTCACTGTCCTCACCTCTCTGTGAGGGTCATGTCATGGAGAGACATGGGTCTTGTACGGTACCAGCTGACTGCTCCAGGCACTGGACCCAGTCACCCATCTTTGGAGAAAAGGGCATCTGTTGTCTGGGCTGTGCATCACTGTGTAGCTGCCTGTAAAATGCCAGGTTGCGGTGACGAGAGCTCAGATATTTGAGAAGAGAGAGTTACAGCCTTCTTCAGCACTGGCTCTCAGTCATCTGCAGGTGTCTTCACTGCCTGTAGACCCCGTACTGCCCCCCGCCCCTGTCCTCTGGACCCCCGGCCGTCTGCCCTTCCTGTGCTGGTTTCTGCTCCTCATCTTTGACAACCTCACTGCAACTTTCCCGGTGGTAGGTGGGTTATGCACATAGTAACTGCTCCCACAATTTTTCTTTTAACTCCTTAAAGAAGACTGCAACTTTTAATATCATGCCAAATGGTGTCCTAATTGTTCATTTGCCCATGGGACATGGGCGTCATTGGCTAGATCAGCATTCATAGCTCATCTCTAGTTGTCTATATGAAGCTGGTGGCAAATCTTCTTCAACCACAGCATTCCACATACTTTTTGTCACCCATATCTAAGTAAGGAAGACTTGCATTTATTTTCCACAATTCATGACCTCAAAATGCCCTGAAGCACTTCATAGCTAATGATGCAGGCCAGGCTGCATTAGAGGACCAAGAAAGTTGACGTTTCGGGTCAGGACCCTTCTTCGGAAATGGGAAGGGGAAAGGGAGCTGGGACATAAATAGAGAGACAAAGGGTCGGGCTGGGGAAGGTAGGTGGGATGGTGATAGGTGAATGCAGGTAGGGAGCGGTGGGGATTGATCAGTGGGATGAGTGGGGTGGATAGGTGGGAAAGGAGATGGACAGGTTGCGTCGAGTCAAGGAGAAGGGGATGAGAGGCTCGGGGTGGGGAGATTTTAAAACTGGTGAATTCCATGTTTAGGCCATCGGGCTGTAGGCTCCTGAGATGGAATATGAGGTGTTGCTGCTCTAGTTTGTGGGTGGTGCTATTGTGACACTGGAGGAGGCCCAGGATGGACATGTCACCCAGGGAGTGGGAGTGGGAGTTAAAATGGTTGGCAACCAGAAGGTGTTGACATTTGTTGCGTACAAAGTGCAGATGCTCTACAAAACGGTCTCAGAGTCAACGCTTGGTTCCTCCAGCTCCATACTGTGTTGTCTCTGACTCCAGCATCTGCATTTCTTGCTACCTCACAGCTAATGATGCACTTTTGAAAGTGTAGTCACTGTTGTAATGTAGGACACTCATTAGTCAATTTGCACACAGCAAGGTCCAACAAACAGCAGTATGATAATTCTGGATAATCTGATTCAGTGCTACTGGCTTTAGGAGAAATATTGGTCCAGGGTGCCAGGAAATAGTCCTTTACTCCTTTTGGAAATAGTGGCTTGGGATCTGTTCAGCTCTGTTGAGAGGCTTGATGATGTCACAGGTTACCATATTATCTGAAAGATGGGGCTGCAGATAATCACGTCACTGAGTGACATGGTATAACCCCCATAGAGACCAACGACTTTTAAAAAGGGATGAGAGTTGTCCAGTGGTCTTTGAGGACATTGCTGAATCAGATGGGCTTTTTCAGCAATCCACAGTGGTTGTACTTTTTGGTGAAAATTTAACTCAATGCCATGGTGGGGTTGGAGCTCAGGTACCCAAAACATTACAGCCTGTGTTTCTGGATTACAAGTCCACTGACATTACCACCACACTACCATCTCCCCTCTCAATTCCACCTGCATGAGCACAGAGGTGATGTTGACTGACGCTCTGTTCCTCTCCGGGTAAATGAAATCCTTCCCCACCTTTTCCTCAGACTTGGCTGAGTTCTGAGGTTCACAGCTCCAACATGTGACAGAGTTGAACGCACATCATCCCACCCAGCTGCCAGCACACTTTACAGCTTTAAGACTTCTATTCACGCAGTTTGTACCCTTGTATTCCATCAAAAAAATACAAAATTAAATTGACTCTACTTTTGAGTGTGTCTGATTTTCTTGAGACCCCAACCGTCTAGCAGTCAAATGGAAAGAAAGGCTAAACCACTGCATGTTGGGATAGCGAGCTCTACCTGCGCATATATCCTTGGAGGTTTCATCACATGACCTTCAAGTGCCCCACCAAATCAAATGACCCTCTTTCCAATCTACAATTTTGCAAAGTAATTGATAAACTAACACGTGCAAGAAAAACACAGAATAAAAATCTCACACAATGATGATTCAGTTTCACAGCCACGAAGTATCAGAAGAGTGTCCAAATCTTTCCTGGAGTGTTGGCAGCTCTACTCTGCTCTTAGTCAGAATGTCACTTCAGAACACTACAGTCATCAGTATAGAACCACACTGGGTGTAAAGATCCAACAACTTAATTTGCTGGTGCGACCATGACAAAGCACATCAGCTGCTATTTGCTTTCTTGGTGTCTGGGAAGCTGTTTTGTTTTTCTTCCCCCCCTCCCAACTTAGTAAATCAAAATAAACTCATTTGAATTGCCTCCCCTGCACTTGAAGAGGTAAGAATCCCAGAAGTATGATGTCCCTTAGGGGATAAACAAAGCTGCAATGCTGAATGAATCACCAAAAAAAAAACATTGCCTGGCTCCAAACTTAGTGTGCAAAGAGCAACCCATGGATAAATAATACAGAATTCTTAATCTGGCTATCACAATAACCATCCATCTGGGAGAAGGCAAGAAACCATATGGTGGCACAAGTAAATATTTATTGCTGCCTACTGCTGGCCAAATACATTAAAGTAGTGTTATTCTGCTTCATACATGCCCGGGAAGCACATACCCAAGACAGCTGTGAATGAAATCAGTGCAGCTGGGATTTAATGGCTTAGGCCACTGTAGGTTTCCTACTTCGGTTCAAATGTCTGTTTAATCGCAAAAAGAGCAGGTCCGGTTTCACAGGATTTACTCAAGGTGAATAAACAGAGAGTACCATCTCAATGGTTTCACATGTAAAGACTTACCCAGCCTGGTTCATAGTCACTAGGCCACCGCCTGCCTTCATGCTCTTCGTAAGATGGAATGGCACCCTCCCGCCTGGCCTGCTGGTACTCCTTCCTCAGTTGGTGGATTCGTTCAACGTTAGTAGGCCTTGCACTGCACAGCAGAATAGGACAAGATTAGGTGTTGACTTGCCAAACAGATCTTTTTCTTCATATGCTGAGGCAGCCTATGCCTCACACAGCCGCTTCCGCCATCTCCAACCCCCACCTTTTTGGGTTGCCCATGCAAATCCCTTCAAAATTGGTACGTGTGTTTTCTCCCATTAAAGGTACAGTAATGTGTTTTTGAAGTAAAAATCCAAATCAACATTCTCTATAGCGGACAACAGAATGGTTTAATAAATCAAGTCTAGGATTTTGGTCGTGTGATAATGCATACTGTGCTACAGGTCAACATATCAACTCTACAGCCAAGTAACCTGGAGCAAATTATTTCAGAAACTTGCCCATTTGTTACACAATGGCGCTGTTCCAACTTCTGTTGCAAAGAAAAGACCACAACGTCCCCTGACAAAGGTCTTCAAGATGATGAAAGGATTTGATGGGGGTGATCAAAACGAGGGGTCATAAAGATAAGATTGCCACTAATAAATTTAATGCTGAATTCGGGAGAAATTTCTTTACATAGAGAATGTTTAGAATCTGTAACTTGCTAGCGCATGGGAAACAATAGAGATGTATTTAAGGGAAAGCTAGATAAGTGCATTAGGAAGAAAGTAATACAGGACGTATTGACCATGCATTGAGGATGTATTGCAACCATGCAAAGTGGAAGAATGCTCACTTGTGAGCATTTTTTAATTATTTCATGGGCTGCGAGGATCACTGGTAAGGCCTGCAAATTTTACCAACTGCCCCTTGTTCTATTCAGCTTGCTAGAACCATTTCAGAAAATAGTCATAAGTCAACGACATAGCTGTAGATCTACAGTTGCATGTAGGCCAGACCAGGTATGGGTGGCAGATGTCCTTCCCTAAAGGACATTGGTGAAACATTTTTTTTAAAAACCATAATAGGCAATGGCTACATGGTCCTCATCAGGCTGGGTTTTTAATTCCAGATTTTTATTGTATTTAAACTTCTCACCATCTGTCACAGTGGGATTTGAATCCACGCACCAAGGCCATCAGCCTAATGACATTACAACTACTCCACTGTCTCTCCATAAGCACTACATAGACCAGTTGAGCTGAATGGTCTGCTTCAGTGCTGAAAATAGCGTGCACTTCTATGTTACAGGATATGCAGGGTGTTCGGAGTTCCTTGAGGGCTTAGCAGGCAAACAGCAGCATGGTACGTTACTAATTCATTCTGCTCAGAAGGTACCAGGTTTGATTTCACAGTACGGTTATCTTAGCTGGGCAGCAGTAGGTTGTTGTAAAAGCCCACAGAAATATCGGTCTAAGGTGGTGCAAATTCAGCTATGGTTCCAACTCCAAAGACACGAGCATTCGGTCAATACAGGATCTGGCTGAGCATTGATCCTCAGCAAGCAAGAGATAGAAAGGAAAAACACTTGCAATTCTATAGCATATTTTACATTGACAGGGCACCCTAAGGTGATTAACCGCAGGAGCAGGTCAAACAGCCTTTCAAAGCCTGCTCTTCCATTCAATTCAATCAAGGCTGATTGGCTTCAACCTCGTATCCCACTTGTTGCTCATATCCTTGATTCGCTGAGAGACCAACCAATCAGTCTATTAAACTGACGGAACATCCACAGGCCTGTGGGGAAGCCAATTTCAAAGGATTCACAACACTCTTGAGCAAAGAGCTTTCTCATCACCACAGTCTGAAATGAACGATATCTTATTGTGAGTCTGCTTTCCCTGAGTTCTCATTATCAGCCCTCTCAAGCTCCAAAGTGAACACTTTTGAAGTGCATCAATATTGGACCGTAGGAAACATGGAATCCAGTGCACATGCAGCAAGATATTACCATCAGCGATGATAAATGACCAGATAATCGGCTTCAGTGATATTGATTGAAGGATAAATATTGGCCAAGGCAGTGAGGAGAGCTCACTTACTCTTTGAGGAACAGCGCCTCAGAATTTTTGATGTCCTCTTTAGAAGGTCAAAGAGGCCTTAGTTTAATGTTTCATCAGAAAGGTGACATATCTGACATTCCTATACTCCCTTGTTGCAGGCAACCTAGATCTCGTGCTCCCGGAGTGTGAGTTAAGCAGTGCTAACTGTCCAGATCAATTCATGGAGATTTCCTAGCTTGGTGTTGTTGGGTTGCTGAACTGAACATCAGTAAGGGACACTGGAGAAGGGACAAAAAAGACAAGAGGTAATCCCAGAGTCCCAGACGAATGTTCTGAGGAAATGCACAGCAGTGAACGGCAGATCAGAAATCTGAAACAAAAATAGAAATTGCTGGAGAAACCCAGCAGGTCTGGCAGGATCCACAGACAGAAAGCAGAGTTAAAGTTTTGGTCCAGTGACCCTTCTTCAGGGCTGACTGTAGCTAGGAAAAGGTGGTATACGTGCTGAAGATGGTGGACGGGGGTAGAGGGGGTGGGGGCTGGTGTAAAGGAGTACATCATAGGTGAAAATTGAGCTCAGAGAGAGAAAACAGCAGTCTGGCAGACAAAAGGGGTGGATAGTACTGATCTGGGGGAGAAAGAAAAGCTGAAAATCAGATTCATTAGTGGGTGAAAATGGATTGGCTGTGATTAAAGCAGCCCACATCAAGACAGGGATGTGGGGGTGGGTAAAGGATATGGAAGGTGTGTTCTGACTCTAAAATTATTGAGTCCTGAAGGGTGCAGACTTGGAGACATGGGTTCGAAGCCCATCATGGCTGGTGGTGAAATTCAATTTTGAAAACAATCTGGAATTTAGAGAAAGCTAGCTCAATGGCAAGCATGACCATCGTTGTAAAGATCTGTCCGGCGCACTAACATCCTATAGGGAAGGAAATCGGCCATCTTTACCTGGTCTGGCCTGCACGCGACTCCAGACCCATGGCAACACAACTAATTCTTAACTATTTCTCTGAAATGGCTGACAATCAGGCTTTCTACTCCTGATTATTATCGCATTAAATCAGAAAGTGACTTTGGGACAAAAAGGGGAAAATTTGGAAGGAAAAATATCCAACTCTTAGTGGCAGGTGCGATTGACAATACAGTGGCATCATCAAACGATGACACAATAACAACACAAACTTGCATTTATATATGGCTTTTAGTATGGTAAAATATCCCAAGACCATTCACAGGAGTGGGATGAGACAAAATTTAATATTAAGCCAAAGTAGTAATCACTGGGACAATGCAAGGAGGAGGGGTGGATTCAAAGTCATAGGTTTTGATCATATTTTAAAGAGTATAGAGGTTTCAGGAAGGATTCCAAAGTCAACACATAGTTGCCAATGGTAGGACAAAGAAGAGGGGTGATACACAATAGCCTGAGTTGGAGGATCACAGAGTTCTTAAAGTGTTAGAGGGCTGGTGGAGGCAGCAAAATTAGACAATTGTGAACTCAATAAGTAAAACCAGCTCGTATTTATTAAGAGCAAATCACATTTAACTAGCTTAATGGAGATTTTTTTTGAAGAAATTCATTTTGGTAGAAGGGGAAAGAGATCTTCTGGCTCAATGGATAGCACACCCCTGTCTGTGAGGCAGGAGATCTGTGCGTATGGTCATGGAAGGTGTGTTCGTAACATGACCAAACAGGTGGCCAATCAACCTGTAAATTGTTCCCACAAGCCTAAGGCGATGGGCAAGAGATTTGCATTCTGCCATGTTAGATGCAGGGTGGCAGCCCTCAGAGGAGTCCACTAGTTTCAGGCCAGCAACAGTCTGAGAGAAATAAGCTCCGAGAAGCAGGTGGAAGCACATGCTTTGTTTGCCTCATGGGTTTCCAGAGACAGGAATCTTCTAAATCTGAGACCAAAGTAAACAGGCAATATAAACTAATGGGCTGAATGAGCTGAATTCTGTGCTGCAATAATTCAATCAAATAGAAGTTTGAGGCCTTGGAGTGAAGCACAGTAAGAAGCAGAGTATTCCTTAAATGGAAAAGTGACAGCAGAATTCCGAGCTACAGAGATGCTACATTGGAACTGTCTGCCTCAGAAGGCGGTGGAGGCAGAGACGTGGAATATTTTTAAGGCGGGGGTAGATAGCTCATCGTTAGGCAAAAGAATCAAAGGTTTTTCGGCATAGGTGGAAATGTGGATTCAAGACTCAAACAGATCAGCCATGACCTTACTCAAAGGCAAAGGAGTCTCAGGGAGCTGAATGCCTACTTGTGCTCCTAATTTGTAGATGTGTACCAATATGAATGTATCAGACGAAATATACTTTATCTGTTGATAGTTATCCATGTACTTCTTTGTATCTTTCTATATTTTAGTTATTTGGGTACTTTTACTGAGTACTGCACGTGGTTGGGTTAAGGGCCCTCCTCGTTTTGTATTCTTAAAATGAAGTGATCCTAATCTGTAGACTTGTTACTTGTTTCAGTGGTTTCTGGGAAATTCTGACTTCCATAATTTTGAGTCGGGGTGCACAGGTCATACGATTTGATGTTGGGCATAAACACCGTGCTCGAAATTACGACGGCTTTGAAACTGGTAAACCACACAGCCTGTAGCAAAAAGGCCACAAGTTATATCTGGATCCTGTTCTGTCCGCAACTGGCTGATTAAAACAAAAACTAAAATTGAATCTGGTTCTTACAGGCACTGTGAATCACAAAGACCCCAGGAGTAATTTTCTGCTTTAAGCACAATCATAAAATAGGGTTTCTTAGGTCACAGTGCATATTTCCATTAAGTCTCATTGCTTAATCACGAACGTTACATCTTTCATGATCGAGCATAAACCATCAGTGTAACAGAACACAATTGTTTATCTTTTTGCATTAAAAGATGTTCCTGGATTAATTAAAGATGATAACCTGTTGTTGTTTTATTAATATAGCTGAAAATGGGTTTGCAATAAAAAAAGCACTTTTAACAATAGTGTTAATTCCACTGCTGGTGTTCAATCTGATTTTAAATCACTAAAAATGACCAAGTACTATACTGAATGACTTGTTAGTTTTATTGTTCAGTTTATTAGTAAATTAAATATT